TGGTCACGGGCCTCCCCAGGACGGCGGCGTGAGGGGCCCTGATGGCCGGGCCTGCTGTTCTGTGATTAATTGTGATTAAACGTAACTTGCCTGATGTGCTGGATCAGGCTCTCGATGAGCGCAGACTTGATGCGATAAATACATAAGTCTGGGGGAAACGGGCGCGCGGGCCCCGGCGGCGTGGCGCTGCCTTCGTCTCCTTGCCCCGCCGTTGCGTCGGGTGCAAGCGGGTGCTCGGCTGGGTCAAGGCGAGTCCCAGGGCGCTCTCAGACGGAGCCCGGATTCCGTACGCATGTGCATATACGGTCATGGGAGCGGTCCCTCTTGAGTCTGGTAACGAAGGAAAAGCAGTAGCTGTCATGCTCGCAGAGAAGGTCCTTCCAGGAGTTTAACCAGAAAATGACCCTCCTGGAGGCTTGCACGCATCTGCACAGTGTATCCAGTATGTATATGTGCATCACTGTTAATGTGGAGCATGGGTAAAAATTGTATGTGTTGCCTGGTGTAAATAAAAGAAGTTTTTTGATCCAGAACAGGTACTGGAGGTGTTCGGTCTATCTCGCTGAACCTGTCTGGCGGCAGACACGCTGCTTCTCTTGTGAAATCTGCACTGCCTCTGTGACTTCCCTCTCCAGGTTTGGCAGCGGTGACAGCCCGTCTTTGCTGAATGCAGGGTCTACTGTGGCGTAAAGATGGAAGGAAATAGAATTGTTCATTACCATTCAAGTTCACTGCAGCAGTTTGTTTTACTGGGAGTTAATGATAGGTTTAAGGAGTTCTCGCAGCACAAAAATTGAGAGGAATTGAGGGATCTGAACATCTGTCCCTGTAGTGGTGCTTAATAAATGTCCTGCAAAGCTCTTAAATATTTTATAATATAGTATCCAGGAGTGAAATATGGAGTATACTGAGATATCACCTGTCAGCTGACAACTGAACAGGATGAGGCTACAGCAAAATGTATATTGAGGTATGCATGCTTCTGGCAGCGTAATAATTTCGGTTGTTGAGCGCTACCGGATCTTACAGCAGGAAGATTCCTAATGTACTAATTGCCAAAATAAAAGCCTTGATAGCATTGCTGACACTTTCTTATCTGTTCTGCACTGGTATTTCCCAAGCCCCTTGGGGGTAATTGATTATATGCAGATAGTTGTGAGCATTAGCAGGCTGTGGTTTTTTTTTTTTTTTTGGTAGTTCTCATTTCCTACCCAAAATCAATATCAATTTTGTGTTAAGCCTGACATGTTTTTGCCAGTACAGGACTTTAGCATGCTGTTTTTCTGTGAAGAGATTAGCAATTTAAGCAATTCATAAATTATGTTCATAAAATAAAATTTGTAATTAAACATGGATTAACTCTAAGCTGCCACTCTTCCACCCCATGTTCTTTAAGAGGATTACGCTATTTCTTTTTCACTGGAAGAGTATACTGAAATTATTTTTCTTATAATACTGGTTCCATTGAGCAGTCTAGTTGCTTTTTTTTGCTGTGGTGAAGTCTATGAGCTTTGATTCACGTGACAATAGAGCCCTGTTACACTGAGAAAAATAGTTTGAAAATCTACTGTGTGCACATAAGTTGTCTGTAACGGACCCGACCGAATTCTGACACGAAGGCACATCTGCATCCGTCAGCACGTTCGCAGTTGTCTGCCTGTGCCACCTGGACACAGGTTGTTAGTTTTGAGTGAATCATCCTGCTCTTTCTCCCCAGTTGAAGGTGGTCCTTTTGCCCTCCATGTTTCGAGGGTTTACCATCCTTTCTATCAAGAAAGCTCTGCCCTGCTTTTATTCTCCGAGTGCTTGACTGTTCAAGGCAGCAGGACATCAGAAGAAGGTACCTTCTCTTGTTTTACCATTTAGTAGAAAGGTGCCAGAGCTCCAGGCTGGCTGTGGACCCCAGCCCTTTGCCTTACAGACCAGGTTGTGTTACGCCACTCCAGAATCTCTGCAGCTGCTGCCACCCCAGCTTCTGCCTGTGCTTCAGCAGCCGCTGTGCTCTCCGGTCTCCTGCTCCGTACAATAGCCTCAGCCCAGAATGATCTGAACGTTGAACGCCTCTAGAAAGGAAGAAGCTATGGCCTGCAGGTAGTAGGGTTAGTCCAGTGCCAGACAGCAAGCTGAGCTGGAAAGGAGGTCCTAGATGCTCTGGGATGAAGAGTAATTTTAAATTTTTGCCAGATTTTTCCATTTTAATTTTTGCTGGACAATCCTGGAATGATACTGGTTACAGCTCTCTCTAGTTGGAGCTAAATGGATGTGCACAAGATCTGATTTAGTCCTGGGCCAAGGCAAGGCAGAACAAAAACTGTCTTGGAATCAAGGACAAGGTTAATCTCTGCTGCAGAGAGCTGGCTTGCATCAGTCTGGCAGGGCAGGCAACAAGTCTCGCTGCCTCGTGAACATGCAGAAGGTTACGGTGTCCCTGCAGTCATCAGCTGATAACAGCGTGGAGAGGCGAGCGCGGCCCCTGGCAGCAAGGCTGCCTTTGCTGTTCCGATTCCTTCAGCACCCGGGGGCCCTGGATGCTGCAGGGGAGAAAGGTGAGCGCATCCATTAGCGGACAGAGCAGAGGAGGTGAAGGGATCAGGCTTTTCAGCAGCTGTGTGTATTTACCCTGCAACCTGTTGATGTTTTCCTACTGTCTTAATGGCCAGAGACTGAGTTTTGCTGAGGCTCAGCCTGTTCCCATCAGTCTACCACTCCTCTTCCAAGCTTGCACTGAAATTCCTTTGTTTCCACATTAGTAGCTTGTGTGTGAGCTGTTAGCATATATATGGAATATGACATTTTTCCGGTGCTTTAGACTTCTTATTCTGACCAATTGTCAGTGCAGCTATTACAGATAACGTGTCGTGGATGTGCCTGCCTCCAGCAAACATCTTGTTCTCTGGTGCTCTGCATGCAGCACTTCTCATGCATTTGCCGAAGCCCAGGCTTCCAGTGAGAGGAGGTTTCTCTTAAAAAAAAAAATCTACAGGCTTTATTTATCAGTGAGGAAGTTTCTGAAAGCCCCCAAGTGTGTTCCACCTCCCTAAAGCAAGGAAATGCTCAGGAAAACTTCTGCCTACAGAGGCCACGCTGCTGTTATTACCGTGTTATTTTTTGCAGCTATGTTTAGTTTGCCTTGCACAGACCCAGTTGATTTGATTTTGGGAGAAGGTAAGTATATGCTTTGTCTTTGTCCTACCTCATTCCCCTTGTCCGCTCTGGAGTGGGGAGGAATGACAAAAAGGCCCCAAAGAGACCAGACTGGGCAACCTGGGTATCTCACACTGCAACCAGCTTGCTAAAGATCTTGGATATAGCACTTTCCTCCCTTGTCCCTTCTGTCCCCACCCCTCAGCCAAGGTTTCTTGGCAATTTCCATCATATTTGCGTAGGATGCAGCGCAAACTGAGCGCCTTGGGAAGAAGCTTCTGTTTGCTGCAGCAGTAGCCACCAGCTCAGTTTTGGCTGAAAAAAGTGCACTTTTCCTGCTTCTGCAGTGGCCAGGTGGTGTTGGGCCATGATCTATAGCGGCAAGATACAGGCAGAGGATCTGGGGGTAAGGAAGGATATGCATCTCATTGAAATGTAAAGGCCACTCCAAGAAGTTAAGCTTTTTCTTCATGAATCTGTGCTGTAGGTGGCTGTTAAGAGTTAGGGTGTTGTGAACGGGGTCAGTCCAACCCTGAGGAACAATCGAATGACCAGGATGCACCGATGCTGGCAGGGAAGAGAGAAGAATCCCTTCCTTTGTGTACCCCTGACGGAGGGGTCTGTTCCTGCCGCCAGCCGTTCCAGGGCAACTGAGGAAACCCAGAACAATAAGCCCCTCTGTGGCCCGTTAGGCGCCGTCCACGCAGCCTTACCAGCCTCAGACATCAGCTTGGGGTTTTGGTTGCTCTGCACCAAAACCAGCTGGCAGTTTGTAGCTACCGATTTCCGAGAGACAGCTGAGCCCTGTCCTCCGGGTCGCACTGGGCCGAGGGGGGGCTCTGGGAAGGTCTCTGTACAGCTCGTACCTTCCTAACCCCCAGCGATCACCTCGGCTCTGAGGTGTAATCCTGTTTTACTCCCCAGCGCTCCTGCCCTGAACTGGAGTTGTACAGCCAACCGCAGGCACTGACATGGCCACAGTCCGTAGCCGGCACCTCTCTGCTGGCCCTGGAAGTGGACGACTGAGCCCCAGATAAACTGCTTGATCCTAGTCGCACAAATGCTCGCATAACTTGTCAGAAGCCCTACGGCATTGCAGTGCACTCCAGGATACCAAACCCTGTCGGTGAAGCATCCATCAGACCAAATGCAATCGTCTTAAACCATCTCCGCCTTCTTGTAGCTGAAATACTTCTGGTAAGAGGTCTGTCTGTAACTCAAATTCAGACACCTTTCACATTTGATGTGAAAAATATCTATGACAGATGACACCAAGCTGAGCGGTGCAGCAGACACGCCTGAGGGAGGGGATGGCATCCAGAGGGACCTGGACAGGCTGGAGAGGTGGGCCTGTGGGAACCTCATGGGGTTCGCCAAGGGCAAGGTCCTGCACCTGGGTCGGGGCAACCCCCGGTGTCAGTATGGGCTGGGGGATGAAGGGATGGAGAGCAGCCCTGTGGAGAAGGACTTGGGGGTGCTTGATAGATGAAAAGCTGGCCACGAGCCGGCGATGTGCGCTGGCAGCCCAGAAAGCCAAGCGTCTCCTGGGCTGCATCCCCCGCAGCGTGGGCAGCAGGGCGAGGGGGGGATTCTGCCCCTCTGCCCCGCTCTGGGGAGACCCCCCTGGAGCCCCGCGTCCAGCTCGGGGGTCCTCAGCACGGGAAGGACATGGAGCTGTTGGAGCGGGGCCGGAGGAGGCCACAGCAATGGTGCGAGGGTGGCACAGCTCTGCTGTGGGGACAGGCTGAGAGCTGGGGGTGCTCAGCCTGGAGAGGAGGAGGC